CGGTGCGTCACGTCAGAGGACTTGACTATCTATAAGTGAATCGTGCCACTAAAGAATAATGTGTTGTTGGCTCTGTTGCCATTAGTAATAAAATTTGGATTATTTTAATGTGACTATGAATTAATCTAATTCTTCAAGAATGCTTGTTCATACCTAGAGCAAATGATGGAACAATGCAGTTACATTCGCATCAGAGTTGCATATCTGAATCCATTGTCCACATTAATGTTGCAAACGCATCTTGTAATGCCTTATCTTCCCATTACATTATCTTTTTGTGTGATGGCAAAGCTCATCTTTGATAGTGGTCTTAAGGTCTTTTCTGCCTTAGATTTGCGGCTATCTCTATGGCATCTCACCACCAGACAATAATCAAATCAAAGAAATTCGTTGCATTGTGATGCCACCACAATGGGGCACTCATCAGACAGTTCACGTTCCTGAAGGCCTTCCCCAAGATGAGTACCTTCGCGAAATGGAACCCCTTGGGTGGATCCACACTCAACCGAACGAACTGCCGCAGCTATCACCCCAGGTAGTAGACTGGTAAAACTGCCTCTCACTTCTACTCTCATCCTTTGGCCACCACTGAAATACAATCGGTGCAAGCTAAAGCATGCATTTGGAGAAAGCATTTCAGTTTTACGAGGCAATCACCTCACTGCTTTCAAAGCTATTTTAGTACTAGACCCGCTGTTCGTATCGTTGCATGCTTGAGTTTTCACTTTCTTATTCATATGCTTTGTTAATAGCATAATTGGCTTTAAACCATGCTGATAGTACCTGTGATACCTTCCTTACGTGAATTTCCTGCTGGTTTATTCATGTCTTCCCTCATCAATCAAACTTACTTTGGAATTCATACTTTTTAAATTGTTACCGCTTTTAAGAATTTGACATGCTTTTAAGGAACAACTAGCCTGCTTGAATTGCTTCTCTCAGCCACAGCTCATGTTATCGCTGTCCCATTTTTGCATAGTTGTAGGGTTTTGCTGTCCTGTTCAAATAATTCGTAAATAGCACTTTTGTGATGTGAAGTTTTGTCTGTCCACAGGATGTTACAACTCATGCGAAGCTATTTGCAGAGCACGATGGTGAGCGGACAATAGTGATCACCTGCAGTTTTACACCGGGTTCAGTGTCTCTCTGCGCCTACAAACTGACTCCAGGTGGGTATGAGTGGGGTCGTCAGAACACCGACAAGGGCAACAATCCCAAGGGCTATCTACCCAGTCATTACGAACGTGTTCAGATGCTTCTCTCCGATCGCTTCCTCGGCTTTTTCATGGTGCCTGCACAGGGTTCTTGGAATTACAATTTCATGGGTAATTATCTTTCATATTCACCTGCCATTTCGGTTGAGAAATTGTTTGTGTATTGGTAGTTTTGCCGTGCGGTTTACTAGGTTTTTGTTAGTAAGATCGAAGTTGATGGATGTTTCAATGATCTTTAACTTGCGGTACCTCGCCTTTCCAAATCTTTTCGGCCTTCTTTTTTATCTCAAAAGGTTAGTAGGTAGAAATGCAACCTTGGAGACTGAAAGTCTCGGACAGTTATGTTTGCATCTTAACCAATTGCTCTTGTTACCGTTTATCTTTGAGTGTCAATCTGATTGCTGATGCTTTTCAACATTATGCTTTACTATCTTTCATACTCGGCAATATTTACGGCAGCTTGTGAAGTGTGAGCGCGCCTTATGGTCGTGTTTCATTGTCACCAGCATTTTCTATTTGATGTATATCAATTGTCTTCGTTAGCAATTATTTTATTGTTGTTCATTTTGCTCACAGAGTTATCTAATTCTTACAACTTTCTACTTTTTTATTGCCGCTTTAAAATCATTAGAATGTTACTAACTGAAATATGGATAATCTTCTCCTCTACAGGTGTACGCCACAATCCGAACATGAAGTACGAACTCCAGCCGCTGAAGCCGAAGAAATTTTACCACCGCATTCACAGACCTTCACACTTCCTCGACTTCACCAACGTTGAGGAAAGCGAGTCGTTCGCCGCAGATCGTGAGAACCCTCTGGGTTAAACTTGGAGAGGAGTGTTTTGAGATTGGTGTGAGATCCCCACGTTTAACTTTGCTGTTTTTCCTCGAAATTGCACCCCATCATTGTCACTTTGTACACAACATCTAATTAGCAAGTCTCGTTTGTCCATTTGTGAAATTTTTAACATTGCCCAAATTGTCCCTTTTCACAGTTTATGCGTTTTTAAAGCTTTGGTGATGCATTTCTGAATTGCCTGATACCTTCGAAAATGGGGTCCAAGCATGTCCAGTACTCGGGACTTGATCGAGGGGAGCTTGGAGCCAGTATGCATTCTCCAATGGGCGGTACTATCACATCTAAGAAGTAGTTACTTTTATTTCGTGATATTTGAGGGCCTGCAGTACATTCAGTTGTTCAGTTGATGTTTCATTCAAACACTATGGATGATAGCGTTTTTACGTTTGTCCGGTTAGTGGTTTTCTTCTCCGCGATTTCGTCATCGGTGGTGCAAGTCATGCCTGATGATGGTGGTTGAGATGGCTCTGGTATTATTGCACAAATGTTGAGGTGAAACAAACCACTCATTGAGAGTAGAAGGAATTTATTGATTGGTCATTCCATGGAACAAGAGCAATGGGTTCTGGAATCCTTTAGTTTGCTGAAACAGTAGTTCTCTATCGTCCGCGTTTGGGTTCTTCCTGGCGAAGTGTATGAAAGCACTAGCATCTGGGGTGACGTTCGATGGAACCTTAGTGATGACCAGCTGGAATGGTTAAGTGCAAAGGTTTAGGTCGGTCTAATCGTTATAAGTCAGAAATGGGAGAGGAACGCACAAGCGCCGTTGAAAATGGTAAGTGGTTGAATTCTAAAATTGGGATGTGAGGATTGGGAATCTCCATCGCGTCTAGCCGTAAGGTGAGTGTCCATGTCTCGTAATCAGCTGGAAAATTGTCAGGAAAGACCACAACGACGCATGTACCTTGCAATCTGCTCTCACTAGGCTTGGGCAAGCGCACGAGAGCTGACATGTAATCGATGTGCTAGCTACAAAGTGGGATGTTTTGTTTGTAGTATCGGGGTCACGGTGGCGGATTCCATCCCATTCGATCGATTTTGAGTAATGCAACGTTTAATACGTAAAACTTTCTGGGATATGCCCTAGTCGTCAAGACTGGGGAAGTCTGGAAAATTATAAAGGCACGTTGTGTGATTGGGTCACATCGCTGAGGCTTATGTCCGACCGCCTCTCATTTGCTTCGCCAAAGATCTCAGATCTTCACCTCAATCTTCGCATCTCAACCGAAGCACTTTCTCCAAAAGAAATGCTACATCTCTCAGGTCAGCGCGTGCAGTGGGACCGGATCGGAGACTTGAGGAAGTACAGATCAACCTCAAAAGATCATGCTTCATATAAAATTATAATAGAGAAATCCCATCAATGTCTTGAAGGGAGATGCCTCCATCGATGAGTCAATGGAGTGCTCCACACTTACGTGATTTCACTACACATCTACTCCATTAGCTAGCCAACATTTTAGCCTCTCACCTATTGCCATGGTGCTTCGACATAAGTGAGAAATGAAGGGGGAACAACATGAACTATCTCTAGGTTTTAAAGTTTATCATGAACCACAAAAATGGAGCTTAAAATAGCGGATAACAGTGGCTTGAAACATTTGTGTGACATCCAGACTGCGCAAGTCTAAATGTACTGAGGACATTCAAGGCAAGTACCTACCAACAATGAGCGCCGAAGAGAAGTGCCTGCTCCACGTTCATCACCGCTAAGCCGCTCCCAAGTCTCATTTGTGATAGCTATAGACACGTTCTTCATTGTCAGGGCATAACTTTAGACGAGACTCTGATGGTAAGATGAACCCATTAGTAACCTTTGCTTTGTCAGTCCTATCAAAATACAGCTTCATCAGAAGACGAGTTATACTTAAAATTATCATTCAGGTAGCTAGGCATAAAAGAGAAAAAAAACGTAACATTAATTCGAAGATTGCATCGACGAAAGGAGCACTATGCTCCTTTGGATGGTTTGGAAATTACTCCCAAATCCTGATCAGAACCTATCAAAGAAAGTTATCCCAGGTACCCGTTTTAAATTACTAAAAAAACAAATAAGTTTTCAAATTTCATTACAAAAATTCACGTGTAGGAAGAAAAGGAATGAGGGAAAAATCGGCAGAAGAATAGTACACGAGCATGTTGCAATAAAAGTGGTCAAGTCGAAGCACACCACTTCATTGTATCCAATCGTCTAAACTTCTTAGCAAAAGCCACAAGGGCAAAATGGGTAACGATAAATAGAGAAAAGATAGGGAAGGTGAGACACTTTTCAATGGACAGTGAGGAGGCATCACTTTCCACCACCCATGTACTCATTTAGCTCCTTGTCAAGATCAGCACGCATTTGTTGTGGATTTGCAGCTGCACCTCGATTAAAGCGACGCGTTCCTCGACGCTTGGCTAGAGCGCGCGATGCCCCACGTCCACGGGTAAGAACGGAACGCCCACGGACGCTGCTGCTGCCACCGCCACCACCACCGCCACCACGGAAGTTACCTCTACGACCAGAGGTAAGGGGGACAGTTCGACGAATGGGTGCAGAAACCGATGCCATTTGAGATGAAAGCACACTGAAAACAAAGTATGGGCAAGGACTAAGACGTGTATGGAATACCTTTGTGTATAAAGCAAGCATGCCATGGTAGCAAAGACAAAATTCAACAAATATTCAACTGGTCAAAATATAATTCGTATGTCCATAAGGAGATATGAATACCAAAACGAGAACCCCAAAAAGCAAGACAAAACTAGTAATAGTTACGAATTTCACGTAAGGTAGAGCAACATACTCTCGCCGATCAACTTTTCTTGGCCGTCCCCGTCCCCTAGCAGAATTATTAAGCTGCTGACCTAGCCTAAGAGCGACGGGAGTTCTTTGGGCATTTGAACGCTATAAGAAAGCAGTCATGAAAAATAAAACGCGACTTCACTCGAATCCCCAGTGGATTTCCAACTCTCCTTCGTAGAGCGGAGTTCTCTAGTCTGCGAAATCTGAAAAATGTGTCAGATTGGAAATATACCTTTCATTTAAAGTGATAGAGGACGATCCGTAAAGCCTGATGGGGAGAATCACTCGCTGGCGCATCTTAACACACCAATTTGAAGTCTAACCAGTCGGACGCATTTAATATCTTAAAATTTTACTTTGAATGTGAAAAAATTTAAATTTTGTTTTTGGCATAAATTTTTTTTATTATATTAGACATTTTTGTTTGTTGTGATGGTATTTTAAACAAGGCGTTCACTTTAACTTATGCGAGCAAGTGTGCTTGTAGCCAAAGCCGTGAGGCGCTAATTTCGGGACGAATGCGACTGTAAATAGGTCTGGAGCGTTGTTTGTGAAGTTTTCATTTTATAAGTTTATCGTAAATACTGTATATATCCTTGATAGAAGTAATTATGAGTAATGAGAACGTGTTGTTGACACAAGGAGGTTACATTTTTCCTGGAAGCATTGGATCCTACCAGCCATCTCCTCCATTGGCCTCATATAATGTTTTCCCACCTCAACATATTTTGTCATCGCCTCCACTTGTGTCTGTACCCAGTGTGGATTTCTATGGGAGGTACTCTCGTCTACCGCCCTTGAACTCGCCATCCAGTGATACATCTAGTACCGTGGAAAGAGATTTTCGTATCATACCTTGGGATGAATTGAAGTCTCTATTAGCAGAAGAGTCGTCTGATGTAAGGGCGGAGTCGGGTCTCCTCTCGGATGGTCGTGCTTTTGCACAGCGATCACCCAGAAGAGATGCGTACTTTCTTTTCCCTTCTAAGTCGGCATATATCTTGTATTTTACGTAAGTGATAGTTTTGGCAGCGTCCTATATTGCTTTGATCAGGCATTATTATTTTTCAAGAGAAAATTTGGACCGTGATCAGACCATACGCGGTATGATGCTAGATAATTGCGCGATTGCGATTGACAAAATAATCGAAGCTCCGCGTCTAGCTTCTATCGGTACTACGATTGATGATATGAAGGTGGCTGTTGAAAGCGGGAGCAATATCCTCTGTGTGTTGAATGCCCCTGATGGTCGTTGCTATCTGCGGCGTATAGATGGGTGTACGTTTCCTAGTAAATTTTTAATTATTTATTTTTCTATTCCCTTAAGTATGTGTGTTCTTATTCCTTCAGACCCGGGCAACATGCAAACTGTGCATAGTGCTTCCACTTTACCAGTTGAAGCAGGAACTCGTGCTTCCTTTGATGGTTCTTTGACCCGTGGCCAGATGACCGAACGGCCCGTACCATCCACATCAGCAGATTTGGAATTTGTTTCGAATTTGTCCGCAATGCTGGCTCCCTCAATTTATGGTGTCCAGGGTCCAAGTCCTATAGATGCGAGTTTGATATATCCCACACAGAATGCTTTCGTTCGCCCCGGAACTAGACCACCCTCTGCGGCGGCTCCAGTTGCAGCCGCATCGGCCATAAGCACGATCAACGCAGCTATGGCTGGGATGAACCTAGGTCAGCCTACACCTTCGCATCATCATCCAGCTCAGGTTGCGCCGCATTTGCTTACTCAACTCGCTGCCATGCCGCAGCACTTAGCGGCTACTCTTGCGGCTATTAATCAGAGAAATCCGGTGCCTGCGTTCCCGGTCTCATTCGGTCAAAATCCATTCTCAACCGGTCAAGGCAGATCCACTGCTCCGACTCATGGTCACCAATCGCAAATTTTTCACCATCAGCAGCAGCATCGGCGGGCAACGCCTCCTCCACCAACATCCGTGCCACCACCTCAAACTACATCAGCGGCAAGTGTGGCGGCCAATGTCTTGAATCTTCAGCTTCCGGGAGCACCTTATAATTTTCAAAACATGCATGAGGCCGCTTCGTCTGCCCATTTTGTGCATGGTTACCCTACGCACACCTATGATTCGTGGATTCCAGAAGTGACTAACGCGGCTTTAGTCAACAATGGCATACATCTTCAATACTCTCCACACATTGTTGCTTGGCCTCCACAGAGCCAGCCTACTCAACTTAGGTCAACTTCTTCTTCTTCTGTCTCTTCTCAGCATCCATCAATGTCTATACAGCAACAGCAACCAATGCATATGTATCCCCCTTCCGCCAATCTCTCACCAGTCAATCTAGTGAATAGTTCAAATGCATCTTCTGGTCTGATGGCTCCTCCTGCGAACGCATCAACCTCGGTGATTGAGGCAACGGGGGCAAAAAGCGCAGCACCTGCTCCAGAAAATTCAGGCAATGATGAAAAAATCGTCGCTACTTCCGCCGCCGCTTCCGTTACGGCTAGTAAAGCTACCAACTTGGGGCCCACTCAAGCCTCTTCCAGTAAAGACGATTCAGTGAACACGGCTGTGAAAGAAGCTGGGAGTGTGGAGACAGTGAACAGAAGGCCGGCACAACTGGCTCAACAAGTACATTCGCGACCTAATAGCAGTGGTAGTGGCAAAACGAAGTTCAAGTCGGGTAAAGGTGGGCATCATCAGAGAGTGACACATTCAAACAGGAGTCCGCCTAGCGTTTCTGTTGTCAGTACTGGTTCATCGACGGGCGCATCTTCTGTCGCTGCTGCAACGTCTTTGAAGGATGCAGCCGCGTCAGTAGGCGCCGTGGAACCCTCGGAGGGGTAGATGACTTGCATAGCATCATCTCATCTTTCCTCTTTTACTCGATTCTGTCATGATGGAAGCCCTGTCCCCTACTTCCCCCCTTCCGCTCTTTATCTTCTCAACATAGGCGTACTTTGCTCCTGGCCAATCTTCGATCTCGATCATTTATACACCCTTTCATTCTCCGTCCTACGCCCCTCAGCCATCTAAGTCTCCAAAAGCCAAAAAAGATCCCCTAAGATTAGCGAAGAAAGGAAGATTAACTATGAAATTACCAAAAAGTAGAATTTTCTTTTTTATATGAAAAGAAAAAAAAATTTCACGTGTGGTTTGTCAGTCCCCTGGTTATCCGCCTTTCCTTCTCTGGTGAGACTTCTTTTGGATTTACGTGCCCTTTTTGATTTATCCGTTAGTCCTTCTTCTCGGCCGTCATTCTTCATCGAAAGGTTCCCCTAGATCACTATTCTCATTTACTCTTTGCCATCTTCCTCTATCTCTTCGTCCTTTCTGACCCTTCAATATACCCTAACCCTGAAGAAAAACTTTTTATCGTTCTTTGGTTTGGGTTCCTATCTTCATGATCCTCGACTTCACGATGTTGGAAGGTCGCTTGAATTGGCTCCATCGCAGGGTAAAAACTGCATAAGGTTTAGCTCGGATGTCTGTATGTTTGACATCCTGGGTATGGCCTTCTTTCCGTGAAGTCGTGGATAGATGTAGTTGCCTTAGAGAGGACGCCTGATGTGCTTCTTTTTCCATAATCGAGGGATGGTCAAGTCAGTTTGGGATCTGAGAGGAAGTGAAAGCTTCAAGAAACTGCAGGTGGAATGGTCTTGACGTGGTCAGGTGCTCTTGTGTACGGGAAGGCTTGATCATGGGTTTGCGTCTTCTTGAGTCGGTCTACATTGATGGTGACTGTCTTCTTCCCCTGGTCCCAATTTACGTTCTCTTATTTTCCATCGCTGTAACTCGGAAGGCATACTCTTCTTTGTCAAAGCTTATTCTCCTTGTATAAGGCAGGAATTCATTGAATCACTGGACCGAAAGGAGACTTTTAGTCAGTTTTCGAGTAAATAGTTGGTTATGTCTACAAAATTGAACAGTTTCCCCGTCAACCGCTTGATTCGCTCGATTTCCATTCAGCTGTCTGATTGAGTTTTCCGATTCGATTTGAGGTTCTTCAACACCTTTCTGCATCAGAGCAGAGGATTTTGCGTTTTGAAAATTTGAAAGCAAGTTGAAGACACCTTTTATTGAAACGGTCTCCGTGAGGAATGCATATTTCGTGAAAACTCAAGGTTGATAGTTAGCCCCAATCACTGCGTAGGTTACATCACAGTGGCTCTGTATCTCACTATCTTACTATTCTTCAACTGTTCTTAAAACAAATTGCGATTAAATCAGCCAATTATTGCAATTTTAGATTCACGCCAATCAATTACAGTGACCTTTGATTAGGGATCCCAATGGGTGTTACACCTGAGACCGAGGACTCACCAACCATGAGTTACGAGGGCACTTACAAATGCAGACTGTTGCCGAGCCGTTGGGAAGGGAAATTGTTGTATGGAGTGAGAGTGGAGTCGTTTTAACGCTTCTAAGCAGCATGGTCGTGATGCTTCTGGCAGACCTCATCAAGTTTGGTGAATTTTACCGTAGTGGATGCCCGATCAACCCTTGAGATCAGCAATCACTTCTTTGATAAAGGCACAGACTGGACGTGTATGGTTTGGATGCACTCAAAGTTATGGGGAAAAAGAAATGACTGTCTAAAGCCGAATAGCAGTCTGATTTTCAAACACCAGTTTGGAAAAGTTCTTATGCATTGTGCGGCACTTGAATTCCTTTTACCAGCGTTGTTTAATTATTGGACTTTGATCATGCGACTGTCACTGAGGCTTCAGAAGCAGATTCTCGTTTACTACCTTGAAACTGAGACCTACAGTGGTGGGGTTATCGATGGTACACCAGCTTTAGAGTAATAGTTTCTTTCCATCCATTTGACAAGGTCATTGGTGAAAGTGAAGCTGAAAACGGATTTTTCTGGAAGTTTAATTAACAACTAGTTGCCGTTAAATGAGCTCCTGTCCAGTGGCCTTCCAATAGCGATTGTGACATGGAAATGGGGATGCAAGTGATGGGCCATTTACAGACTCCCAAATCTGCGTCAATGTGTCTATAGTTCTCTTCACTGAAAAAGCTCTTCTTGTTACCTTACCAAAAAGCGGACAGTCGATCATCGGTGGACAACCTGATTTCCAAAAGTAAAACCGCTTACTCCAAAGAATGAAATTTTTCGATTGTTTCTCAGGCAAAAAGTGGGCTACACAGCCATCCCTTCTTTACCCCTGAAGACTCCTTCATATTGCGCTTATTTCTAAACATCTGCCTTTTATTTTGTCGAATCGGAAGTTGTGAGAGTGGAAACACAACAAAAACATTTTATTGGGTGGTCAAACTCACTTTGCATATGTACAGTGCTCAATGGCGATTGCTTCTATTTTTTCGCCCATTCGTTAAATTATGCCTCATCATATTGTCTCACTGTCAGAGGTAGGTGGCGCTGTTAATAGGGTGCGACAACTTGCCGAGAGTGCCTTCCATGCTTCTGGCGGTTTTGGTCGCCCGTTGGACTTTTGTTGCAGCTAGAGATGCCAAGACGGGATCGATGCGAGAATTCACTTCTCTGGAGGCCTTCAACGGAGGGATTTTCGCTATATGAAACTTGACCCGCATACTGAGTCAATCCTACAGGTGACGAGTTCTTCCTACCGCCATCTATCTGCAGATTAATTTGACTCTTATAAGAGACTTCTTGTGCTAAGGGAAAAAGAGACATTGGAATTGAGTTTTTTACCGTTTTCCTCAACAGCTATTATCAAAGAAGCTCATTTGAGTTTCTTTTCATGGTCTTACAAGTTTTTTAGACGGCTTCCAGCCTTTTACTATCACTGTTTAAGACATTGCATTTGACAAGTTGATTTCTAATTGCTGTTTGTGGTATTGGTGGTGATGAATTTTTTAAGGGAACCTCAGGATGCCGTAGCCTCTAGCTCGTGAGTTGTTGATGATATTTGCAATCCACTCAATGTGCAGTTGAAGCAATCCACGGCACTGAAAAGTGAACCAAAATGTTCCACTCCTTCCGAGGACCAAATGATACATGGACTTGCATTATCATTTTTCAAAAAGTGCCTCCCAAGGTCACCCGACTGTTTGAACCGGCTGTTTTACTGTCTTCGTTCGACATAATCACATGTGCTGCTGAAGTAACTATTTCATCCATTTATTAGGCGACATGAATGAGATTCTGACCTCAATTTAGCTATACTTTAAGCCTTTTTGTCATTTTCATTTGGCTGATTTATTTGCCGCAGAATGTAGTAAAGGCGATCGCTGTAAACTTCCAAAGGCTACATGTTTCAAATGTGTGGCGATGGGGGTGGACGTGTGGAAAGATGGTGTCTCAGATCAAATTACCCTCGGAGAGTGAAGAAGGCAGTTGCCATTTGCTTGGCTAACTTGCTGCTCGGTAGAAAGGCATTTCCGGCGCAAGGCAAGCAGCAGAGGCGAGTGTGTGCTGGGAGCGCAGGTTTCTCCTCACGTTGCAATCATCTCAGTCCCGTGGTTGTCTTCAAAGGAAATGAAAACAATTATAAGCCTCCAAGTAGCTGCAAATCAGCTATGGTACTAGTAACCTGAATAATATGAGTCTTTTCCCCAACTACTTTTTCAGTGATTCTACCTTGACAAACTCACACCATAGGTGAGCTGAGACAAAGAAAGCATGCTAGCTGGATGTTCCGGCTCAATTCAAATAAAAGTTAATTTTTTCCTCCAAAGAGTTGCGTCCCCTTTTACGAATGTGCTTGCTTTCTCAAACGCCCCTCTTTGAAGTATATTACCATAATTTTTCTTCCTGCCTCATTAAAGTTGCCTCTTTCAGACAAGCCGCCCTCTTAGGTTGAGGTTAATCCGGAGCAAGATAAAGTTCCTCAGTCCCCTAACATATCCGGCGCCCAGTCGGAAGGCACCACCGTTAAGCATAGGAGTAAATCCCACTTATCTGCTATTAGAAAATCAAAAAAATTCCCCGCTTTGAAAGATGAAAATTTTTAATTTTTCGTTCAATACCCGAGAGGTTATGCTAGCTCCAACTTTACGTGAGGATTTATTCCAACAACGCATCAATTTTATCGTCATTGTTGCAGGGCAAAGCATAGGTGCTCAAGGTCAATCAATGTTTTGTCATCACGCAAAACTGAAAGCAAAATACCGCCATCCTTGTCGGTGCGTCCAGCATCACACATTCGCGCGCTGTACCGACATTTCCTCCTGAGGACCCACACGTCAAATGTGCGACACGCGTGCTCTACAACTTTGCGGCAATTTGTCGCATTGAGGCATGGTACTCCTCGATTAATTTGGCTTTGAATAATGAAGTAAATGAGGAGCATTTTAAATGTGGGAAAATCTCACTTGCTTGATGGCCATACACCAACATCGCTCTGAAAGGAACATATCCTCTGTGGTGAGCAGTGACCAAAGTTTCCCTGCAAATCTAATAGTTGGCGTTTTACCCTTGAAAATTCTATAAATAAGTTATTTTTTGATAAAATGAACAAGGGTCTTTTTTAAATTGTGCCATGGGATCAGAGTTTGCTATAGTCTTAAGGGGAGAATTAGGACAACACAAGAGTGGCTATTAAATCAGGCGAGGTGAATCTAATGATCAGACATTATGCAAATAGACCCTTTGTGCCACACCAGGGGCCTCTACTTTTTCTTCAAACGCGAAATTAGGAAAAACTGATCTTGTATAGCATTAATTAGCGACTGTACCAATTGGTTAAAGCGATTCAAGGTCAACTGACTGGTCAAATGACATGACGGGCAGCCTCCTCTCGCCCCCTCCTTCCTCCGTCCTTTGCATCTTGTGGTGATGTCTGATAGTGGGAATTAATACGGTGGCCAGAAAAATCGATAAAAGGCCACAGGCAAATACACCACACGCAGCGTGCGTACACACACGCACAAGGGTGGCCTTGAACCCAGCATTCTGATTGGTGGGTGGTCTACGCCAGCTGCGTAATAGCTGCTGCAATGGAATACACTTCCGTGTGATCAACTGCAGACTGGAGCATTACCTCGAGTGCTAACTTCTTCATTGATGCGGAGAAGATGGTAACTATCCTCTTAGTCATCTGACT